CGTGGCGAACTTCAACTTCTGGTGGAGAGTGGAGTGTACTGCTCCCAACGCGTGTAGCCATGTTCGCCCCATAATTACGTTGTAAGGGGAGTCCGTGTCGATCACCACAAACTCTGTGTCGATGACGAAGGGACCAGTGGCGACTGGTAATGTAATTTTCCCCACGGGCAAGGCGAAAGAGCCGTTGAACCCGATGAGGGGTGTCCTGATTTTGGTCAAGTCTTTGGGGCCAAAGCCCATCCGCTTCAAAGTCTCGAAGTACATCACCTCCGAGGAACTCCCTGAATCTATCAAGATTCTCTTGACATCGAATTTTCCTATCTTTAGGGTTAAGACAAGGGCGTCGTTATGAGGAATCACCACGCCCGTCAAATCCGCGTCAGAGAACGTAATGCCAAGTTCACCCATCCTGGCCCTTTTGCTTGATGGCCCCACACCTCCTTCGGCTACCTTTCTGGTAAAAGCTACCCTCTTGAGGTCGGATTCGAGCTCTTTGGACGTGGGGCGCTCCAGTGGACACACATGGATGACGTCTATGACGTTGTTTGGTTCCTCGGTCTGGGCAGGGGCTCGTTTTTCTTCTGGCCTAGGCTCTATGTATTCTTTCAGGTATCCATCTCGGACTAAGTTCTCCAAGAATGACTTGAACACCCTGCAGCTCTCGGTGCGATGCCCGACCTCCCGGTGATAAGAACACCTTACTGTTTGATCACGGGTGGAGGGGTCGCTTTGCATCCTGGGCGGCCATTTGAAGAACGGCTCGCGTTTGATTTTATGGAGCAACCTGAAGATGGGTTCCTTGAAGACGGTGTGAACTCCTCTGGACGAACTCCCTGGACGGGGTAGCAATCCCTTCCGGGGAATATCTTCGTGCTCTTTTTCCTTTCTCTTGGGTTGGAGGGCTCGGCCTCTGTTGCTCCCCATCTCATCCTCGACCCTCGAGTACTTGTTGATTCGGGCCATCAGTTCCCCCATATCCGAGGGAGTCTTTTTGGTCAGGGATCGGTACAGGTTCGTGTCCCTCGCCAAGCCGAGCCGGAATGATGCTGCTGTCATGACCTCCGAGCATCCCTCGACCTCATTGACTTCTTCCCAGTATCGGATGGCGTACTGGCGAAGAGTCTCGGATTCCCTCCTCCTGAGGGTCAGCAGTGATCCAATGTCCTTTGGGCGCTTACTCCCCGTGATGAATCGGGTTAGGAACTGCCTCGTCAATTCTTTCCAGGACCCAATACTGTTTGGGGGAAGCGCCTCGAACCACCTCATCGCGGAGTCCCCCAAGCTCATAGGGAACACCCGGCATAGGAACCGTTGGTCCGAATGATAGAGGGACATCATCTGCTTATACTGTCTGATATGGGCATCGGGATCAGATCGCCCATCATAGGTCTTGAACCGTGGCACGACGAACTTTCTTGAGACGTCCATCTCACTGATTTCCCTCGTGAAGGGTGTTTGCATGACTTCATCCTCGGCCTCGTCCTGGATCGTCTTGCCCTTTCTTCTGGAGTCCAATCGGGCTCTGAGATCTACTTCTTCCCTTACGGGATCCCCCCTGAAGTCTCTGGGTTCGTCGGTAAGCCCCTCGTTTCCTGGGCGTCGTGTAGATTGGGTTGAGTCCTCCTCGGATTCATCTCCCTTCCTCCGTCTGGATAAACCTCGCCGGAGGTCGTCCAGGGCCAAGGGCCTTGCTTTACTGGAATGGTTGTCACGATGGCATTCGCCGGCTTTGGGGCGCTTCGGGGCCCTGGAGCTTTCTGCTTTGTGATCCAGGTGGTTCCTTAGATCCTTCGTCTCCGCCTCATGGACGGGGAGTCCTCGGGAGAGGAATGAGTCCTTCGACCCTCCGCCTGAGGCAGCAAACTCGTCGAGCCGGCTAAGGACGTTTACATTGTCCTTCTCCAGCTGACGTAATCTATCGCCAAATTTCTCTTCTATCACCTCTGCCAGCTGACGGGCCAAGGGGGCTGATCCCCCTGACCTGATCCCCATACTGGTTTGAGGGGTTACCCCCCTTGACCGAGTAGAGGCACTTTTAATCGTACTGGTGCGATCCCTCCCCCCGTGATGGCAGGGAGCTTGCAACTCATGACTCCGTTGGTGGGGTCCTTTCCCTTTCTGTCTGGTGTTCACCATGGTCACTGTTCTTTTTAGAGAAAAGATTTGGAAAACTACTCGTTTCCCACAGACGGCGCCAGATTGTGCGGGCTCGATCCTGCACGATATATAAAATATTGGGAACAGATCTCTCCCCTGGTGAACTCTGAGTGAGCCGGTTGAGTGGCGAAACACGCTACTTGAAACAACCTTCGAGGTACGGTGGCAACCTGGAACGGCAAAGGGAGATCCTGGGAAAGGAGGAACGATCCTGTACGTGTGAAAGGTATTTCCTGGAACAAAGGAGAACAAGTTAGAAGGGCGCCGGAGTGTTTTCCGGCGTATCCCCTCCGACGGTCTAGTCAGTCTTTGAATGAGAGAGAGGAAGGAGAAAACACTGAGAAGGATATTTCGTAGTTGAGAGTTTGAGATTGCATACCGGCTTTGTCTTTTGGGAGGGGTATTTATACCTTAGAAGATCATGATTGCTGTCAGTGTGGTCAGTAGGTAATCATCAGGCACAGGTAGCGTGCGTAATCATTTGATGAGGAATGTCTTCTCTAATTGACTGCTCGGGGTCCCGAACAATCAATGCTGAGTCTGTCGGGACGCCGACGGTACAATATGCTCCTGTCGGGAAGGATGCAATAAATGCTCTGTAATAGGAGCATTTATTGCCTTTCATATCCGAACCTTACCGCATTGAATGCGGTCTCGTCAACAGAAGGGTGCAATTAATTGTTTGCTTTCCCAAGTCGCGTGTCAGCAACGGCATGCGGTTTGTCTGCTTCGGATGTGACATTATTTGCCACGCGTCCATCCCTTATTGGCTGTTACGTCGGTTTTCCAGAACGTTCTGACATTACTTGTGTAAGAAGAGGTCATGATGACTAATCCATACTGGCATAGGCTGATGTCCAGTATGTCAGTAGCCTTATCCGGGAGTAGAGGAAGCGTCCAGGATGGAGTGACCCTCGGCGCCGAGGAAAGGCTCACCTCGGGACCAAGGGGTGGTGTTTCCCCGAGGTACATGGTGACCGAGGACACATGTCATTGTATAATGTACCGAATATGTAATCCTATATGAGAGGTACCTCGGGGGAGAGGACGCCTTGCCGATGGTGCTCGAACCCGAGCAACATTGTTCTAAAAACCCCGAGGACACGTGTCTTCATCATAGGCTTTTCAGAAGAGTCCCATCATTAATAATCTTTCATATTATTGTGTATACTTCGTAAACAATTAGCATGTGCTGCTCATAAAACTTTAGCAGGCTCCCCATATTTTACTAGATCATGCACATTTCTGATTTTCAAAATTATTCCAAAGTTTGGAATGAGACTTGGTATTTTAGTTTTCTTCCATTCTTGCCTTTTCTCATTCAGATACTAATTCTTTTCAAAAATTATGTACAAAATGCACAAAAAATGAAATTAGGGCACAAAACCCCCTGTAAAAGGGTCTAATATTCAACGTTTGTGTTTAATGATTTTTTAGATTTGAAAAGTTTATTGTGTGACGTTTCCTTTAACCAATTGAGAGAAAAAAGTTTAAAACTTATAGATAAAGTGTCTATCAACGTAAAATGATTTTTGATTCTGCCCCTGATCGGGACTGTGAGATCTCAAATTTTAAAAATAATTTAAATATAAAATATTATGAGTTTTGATGTGAAAGTATAAAAAATATTTAAGTTTTGTGATTGATATCTATAGTAAGTGAAATAAATGAGAGTAAAGTATAAATATTATTTTGTCTTCACCCACGTGAAGACTTTGAAAAAAAACAAGAAGCTAACATTGAATAAATTGTAGAAAATATGGGTGTGTGTAATTAATAGTTTAGAAAATGTGTGTTTACTTTAATGTGCAATAAAGTATGTGTATTTAAAACACAAATCAGTGTGTGTGTTCTGATTTGTTGAAACCATGAGCGAGGGAGAAATAAAAAGAGGGAAGAAAAATATATATGTGTTTGTGTGTTAAGCCGAGAGCAAAGAATGAAGAGAGGGAGAGAGAAAATAAATCTTGGTGGGTGTCTTTAGTTCAAACTGAGAGGAAAAAGAAGAATGAAACGGAAATAAGAGTTATTAAATTCAAATAATGATTCTGAGGTACGGGATGGTATACAATATGCTCTCCTTAAATCTATTTGCAAAAAATATTTCTTTGATTATCTTCTCATTTGTATTCCAACTTGTGCTATTGTTATTTTAAAATTTCGATTGAATATCGTTGAATATTTTGATCTCATTAATCGTGTTCTGGGGATATTGAGACGGGATCGTGGCAGTCAATAGTCGATGCATCGCCAGCTAAGAGACCCGTGAGATCGAGTTGGGTGGGATGATTGGTGAGGTGTCAGATCTGTGTTAAGATCCTGCATGATGTGTGATATACAAATATGATATTTGTATCTGTTGATTGAGATATTTTGTGATATTCGATTATTTGTTATTCAATGTTCTTGAGCATATTTTTTTCGTTATATTGTACATTTTTCCACTTTATTTAATATTTTCAGGTTAATTTTAAAAGAAAAGATCAGAATGAGATACTCAGAGTATCAAAGACGAAGAGATGTCGACATAATTAATGTTTTATTCGTGTTGGGAGATTTATTTATGGTAACAGATTTATTTGTATTGAGATATGATTTTTATAAATGAAATTTTATTAGGACAATTAACGCTCTATTATTTTTATTTAGATGTTTTTATATCAATTAACGATAAAACAAATCTTAATATAACAAAAAAAATTATTCTATCAATTTTTTTTTTCGATATCATGTCTAAAAATATTTTATAGTGGGACATGTGTATACACACAAAAAATAGGGTCTGCCACCCTTGAGTGAAAACAACGCCACACCATATCTGCTCTTCCCACGTTTTGTGATTTGTCCAAATCCCAAAACAAGAAGATCTACAGATTCGGAGACAGTAAAGTAAACCAACCCCCAACTATATATAAATTCTTCAATTTTTGAATTCCCCGTAGAAAAAATTGTATACGAGATCAGTTTTGAAGTGAATGACTTCAAATCCAAATGTTGAGTTCAGTTAAATTCGAATACAATGCTTGCATTTCTGTTTCTTTGTGTGGAAAATTCCGAGTTTTTTGGATGAATTTTCTGAGAATATTTGCATTAGAATTGTTTCTGTCTCTGTTTTGAATTTTTTAGGGAGAATTTTTTAATTTTGGGGGTTTTTGTCGAAACTAGCGAAGGCTAATTTAGTTGTCATTAGGAAGATTGATGAATGAACTGAGTGGACCCAGTTGAGTCTCTTCATAAGTTGATTCTAAGTAAGTTTGTAATTTTGCGGATGTGGTGGCAGTAATTTGGTAATGATGGTTGCAAGAAAGCCTGGGTTAATTGCTTTGTTTGATATGGATGGCACTCTTACGGCACCGCGAAAGGTATAGCGATCTTCCTCTCTTTATATCTTTCTTTGTCGATCACATTATCGTAGAGAAAACACGCACAAGTCCTATATATCAGATATTGGATTTTCTGTTTGGTGAGTCGTATGGTCCTGTTGTTCATCATCGCCTCTGTATAAATGTTGGCTTAAATGTGTGGTGAGGTGGGAGGTGAATTGTTTGTAATTTCTAGAGTGTTTCTAGTTCTAGAGTATGATGTCATCTAGCACCCGGCTCCCCACAAAGGACAATGTGCAAGGTTTAAGTCTCGATTATAAGTGGACTTGGGAAGACTAGGAAACATGCTGACTGTTTCTCTAGTGTTGATGGGTAGTGCAAAATGCAAAACACAAGTTTTTCAGCAAGATTTCTTTTTGAACTGAACTGCAATTTTTTTTCAAAGACATTCATTTTGCTTTGGTTCTCAGTGGGTTTTTATTGATGTGTATAAACTATACAGTTGAGGATCAAATATGTAGAAACATTATCATCTACTCAATATTTCCTCTAAAAATGTCAGGTGGTGACTCCAAAGATATTAGAATTCATGCGGGAACTCCGCAAGGTACGTAATTTATTATTTCCTTTCGCCTGCATAGCATGAAGAGTAATTTCCATAATGCCACTCTTGATTTGTGGGTGTTCCTATTCCCAGTCATATTTGCTATGTAAAATTGTCTCGTCTTTATATATTTGTTTGCCTGAAGGTAGTAGCAGTTGGTGTAGTTGGGGGATCTGACCTTGTTAAGATATCAGAGCAGCTTGGAAAGACAGGTTAGCTCCAATGAGCCTTTAGTTCCGATTTTGAGGCACTCATTCAAAAGAAGCTATACAACGTAGATCTTTAAGCTTCTCATTTATTTTCGTTGCCCTCCTAATTTCATTTGGGGCTTGCAATGGTGTGTTTGCTTATCTGCATTTTCATGTTTAACATAGAACAGAAGTGGGACTAAAGGTATAATTCTTTTCACTGGCTTTTGTTAAAAGTAGGAACTAGAAACAAAAACTTGCGCGGGTGACTTAGATGTGAGACCATCTGTGTTACTAAAAGGATATAATATCCATCTTGAATTTCTGAAGGACCTAATTCATTTAAATTTCCTACTTTTAAAATTATTCAATATTGTTGATATAGTGGTCTGGCACGGTATGACTACTATAGCAGCCAATTGATAAACATTAGCTAGCTAGGCTAGCACATGGGTTTCTCTATAATATTTTTGATTGTCTAAACCTATGATCTGTACTGTGTATATGCAGTTACAAATGACTATGATTATGTGTTTGCTGAGAATGGGCTTGTGGCCTACAAGGATGGCAAGTTAATTGGAACCCAGGTATTGCCTGAAACTTGGACCAGAATGTTATTTGCAAATCAAAGATACTAGTTATACTTATAGTGCCACTTATGTCTCTGAAATTGAGATAGAACAAACGATATAGGAATCATCAAGATGGGACCTTTTTCTGCTGTGAGAATAATAACAGCAAAAGAATATAAGAAAAACTAGTCAAATGAGATGTTAGGTGGTTTTTTTATCCTTTTTTTTTTGTTGATATTTTATTGTTTCTTCCATTGATCATTATGCCTATGTATATGTTCTCTGTGCAGAGCTTGAAGTCATTTCTTGGGGATGACAAGCTCAAGGTAAGAAATTTTGCATGTTCCCTACCATAACCATTCAACACAAAGATCCAAATAGTAGTATCCTGCAGTTGGTCCTATGCAACATGCTCTTACATGTTGAGAGGTTTGAAAAGATAAAATATGTATTCTCTGCAAACAAAAATTAGCATCATTATCTGTTTGGTCACATTAATTTTATGTATGATTTTATGATGTGGTGAATGTGGAATATCTTGAATGTCAAATCAGATCAATTAATAATGAAAGTTCTGTTGTGGAAGACTTATCATAGATGGTAGCTTTGCATTCTACACATGCAAACCCATACTATAACAATTTGCTGGCTTTTTGTTGTGATAAATTGCAAATGCTGGTGCAGGAATTCATTAATTTTACGCTTCATTACATTGCCGACTTGGATATCCCCATAAAAAGGTTAGCAGAGCAAATCATGTATTCAATTCTCCATTTATAATAAGCTTCTTAGAATCTTTATTTTTTTCCTTTCAGGGGAACTTTTATAGAGTTCCGAAGTGGGATGCTCAATGTATCACCAATTGGGCAAAACTGCAGTCAAGAAGAACGAGATGATTTTGTGAAGTATGACAAGGTATAAAATTTCGATTACTTGTAGTCGCATGGTCAATTCAAAATTTTATTTTTTAACATGCACTTTTTGTTTGGGTAGTCCTCAAAGAAATGTTTTATTGAAATTATATTCAGGTTCACAATATACGCCCAAAAATGGTATCAGTGCTTCGTGAGAAGTTTGCACACCTTAACCTTACGTTTTCTATTGGTGGACAAATTAGCTTTGATGTAAGTGATTGCTATTTATTGATGTTCGGGTCCTTATTCAACTGCAAAATAGAATAGGAGTGAGGGTTGGAGTTGAATTTTTTGCGGGTAAAATGGTTATGACAGGTTTTTCCTCATGGCTGGGATAAGACATATTGCCTGAGATACCTGGATGATTTCGATGAGATCCACTTCTTTGGAGACAAAACTTATGAGGTAGCATGTCAATTTCACTGTTCACCTGTGCCTTATTATTATCTTGGTGCTTTTTCTGTTCACTATATTCCCTTCGTAGAGAATGTCTCTGTACATGTCCAAGTAGATTACATCATGATGTTCTGCTGTTTCAAGGAATTTTTTTCCTTTTTGGGCAAGACCGGAAGAACCTATATTTTTTTTGGTTGAACAGGGTGGGAATGACTTTGAGATCTATGAATCCCAGCAAACCGTGGGTTACACAGGTCAGCTTTATATTTCAGCTTATTTATTGGTAAAACTAAACCAGTGTGCTTTCAGTTGCACCTACATGTAGGTATGTATGTTTTCTACATCTGCAGATGTGATGCTTGTGAACATTAGTGGGTGCATCACAAATCAAAATAATTAGAATGATAGATAATCATTTTGCTTATCTTGAAATCCTATGCATGGTTCTCTTATGAAACGAAGACAGTTTTTTATTGCTGTGTGCTATCAATGCTCTTGCTTTCACTACTGTCAGTATAATGTCATAGCAAATTGAACTTTGTTTCTTTTGTTCTTAGTTACCAGTCCTGATGATACAGTGGAGCAGTGTGCTAGTGTTTTTCTAGCCAAGCAAGATGGAGGCCTCTGAGCTTGTTGCACCTATGATTTCAATTACATGCCCATGGTGATCTATGGTTATGCTACACAAATAAAATATTTGTTACTTTAAAATATGTTCACTGTATTACCTATTTTATGTTCCACTGAGTTGTAGTCTTATTTTTTGGCCATTTAGACGAGTCTTAGTGTTGGCTGTGTTTAAACAGTGAGTAATCTCATACATACAAGGTCTCAAATCACAAACTCCCCCCCCCCCCCCTCCCTCCTCCTATCCTGTATGAAGTTCAATTCCTCCATTACAACATTCAAGCCTGTGAAATAACCACAAAATTCACTCAAAAGCAGAAGCACAAAGGCCTCGACCTGAATACAGATGTTAAATTTCTATATTTCGGGAACAAGTGTTCTACACCTTGACAAGGGAGTAGCAAGATCAATAACCATCTCTGACATGAATTAGTAGTACTGGAACCAGAGAGCTAAAGTTGTAGCCAATTACCTTCCGAAAAAGAGAGTAATGCTATGCTGCCGAAATAGTATCCAAAAAAACTAATCCCAAATGAGTTGACACCTTTACACACCACACACTTTGGGTCCCTAAATCAGTTTTTTCATAATATGTGTGTGGTGTGTGAAAGTGCCAACTCATTTGAGGTTAGTTTTTTGGGATACAATTTGGGTAGCACAGTATCACTGTTAAAAATGCCACCAACTTTTTCTGACAATTGTAATATCAAACTAGGCAATATATAGTTCACATGAAAAAAGACCTATCTCATCGGTCCTGTTTTGGGGAACTCAATGCTAGTGCCCGAACCCTTGGCCCCTCTTGAAGTTCTCTCTAGTCACAATATCAACAGTGCATCCAGCTTCATACATGAACTATCACTGTGTGGTTTCCCAATGGAGCTCAGGCTGAACATACAAATCACACCAGATGCTTTTCTCGAATTTTATGAGTTGGCAGAAGACAGCTAGGCAAGGACCGGGAAATGCTCACCATAAAAACAGGTGAAGACAAAAGGATGCTCTAATGAACCTAAACAGAAGGGTTGGGGGGGGGGGGGGGGGGGGGGGGAGGGACTCAACCAAATTTCATTATATCGTTCTCCCTTGTTAGAAAGGTAACTTTGAATCTCTCACTTGAAGTTGTGAACTCTCTTTGCTGAGATGAGAGTATTAGAGAGGAGCATTGCTATGGTCATCAGCATATTTCGTATCAAAAGCAGCCTTCAATGCCTACACAAGGATTGCTGCCAAGAAGTACCACACTGTCTGCATCAACTGTGTCGATCCAGGCTTCATCAAAACAGAGTTCAACTACAACACTGGCATATTGGCTGTCCAAGAAGGCACTGTCAGCCGTGTCAGAGAAGCACAGATGCCCCATGGTGGACCTCCTGGTGTCTTCTATGCTGAGAAGGAAATAACAATTGAAAATAATGCGTTACAGTCCCACTGATGAAGATGAAACTGCTTCCATATGACTATGGTCTACATATCTGTGTGTGCGTGCGAGATCCTGCACAATATAAAAAACGAGAACAAATCTCTCTCTTGGTGAACTTCGGGTGGGCCGGTTGAGTGATCAGGCACGCTGCTTGGAATAGCCTGCAAGGTACGGTAGTAACCTGGAACGGCAACGGGAGATCCTGGGAAAGGAAGAACGATCATGTAAGGCTGAAAGAGATTCCTGGAACAAAGAAGAACAAGTTAGAAGGGCGCCGGAGTGTTTTCCGGCGTATCCCCTCCGACGATCTAGTCAGTCTTTGAGAGAGAGAGAGAGAGAGAAAGGAGAAAACACTGGGTGTGTAGTGTGTATTGTAGTAGAGAGTTTGTTGTTGCATACCCGCTTTGCCTTTTGCAAGGAGTATTTATACCTTAAAAGCTCATGATTGCTGTCAGTGCGGTCAGTAGGTGATCATTAGACACAGGTAGCGTGTACATTTGATTCTGATGAGGAATGTCTTCTCTAATTAACTGCTCGGGGTCCCGAGCAATCAATACTGGATCTTCGGGATGCCGACGGTACAATGTGCTCCTCTCGGGGAGGATGCAATAAATGCTCTGTAACAGGAGCATTTATTGTCTTTCATTTTCGAGCCTTACCGCATTGAATGCGGTCTCATCAAGGGAATGGTGCAATTAATTGTTTACTTTCCCAAGTCGCGTGTCAGCAACGACATGCAGTTTGTCTGTCTCTGATGTGATATCATATGCCACGCGCCCATCCCCTATTGGCTGTGACCTCTGTATTCCAGTACGTTCTGACATTTACTTGTGTAAGACGAGGTCATGATGAATATCCTAGGCTAGCCTAGGCTAATGACCCGCACGTCAATAGCTTATCCTGGAGTAGAGGAAGTGTCCAGGAGGGTATCTCTCGGCACCGAGGAAAGGCTCATCTCGGGGACCGAGGGAGGTTGCCGACCGAGGTACATATCTGACCGAGAACATGTGTCGGTTGTAAAACATACTGAATGTATGATCCTATATGACGGTACCTCGGGGGCGAGGACATTCGTGCGCCGATGGTGCTTGATCTTAGCAACAGTGCTTTAGTGGAACCGAGGACACGTGTCTTCATCATAGGGTATTTCAGAAAAGTCTCATCAACTGCCCCCCAGCCTTCGATCTTCTGACACCGAGGACATGCGTTGTAAGGAGACGAAGGGTTTCCCAACTACCACCCGTCCTTCATCATGGCCTCGAGCCGCTTTCCCCGGCTTGGGATGTTGTGCGCATTAAGTGCGCCGTTTCGGTTTTCGCGCCCAATGATGAAAATTGCCCCTCTATAAAGGGGGTTCCTCTCCGGTTTCCTTCGTTTTGCCATTTCGAACTTTCTCCAGAGTACGTCTTCTTGAATCTTCGCCGGAGTTTTGTTTCTTCTGCCATCGTCGACTGCCCATTCTCTCAAAATTTTAAAGCCAGCAGACCCATTGTTGATTTCTGAACTTTCTGGAGGGAGTTGCTTTAAGGTTTTTTCAGAAAAAACTCCATTTTGACGTTCGGGTGAGTTTCAGAATCCTCTTTCTTTTCTTCCTCCTAGCCTTTTGTTTTCCGATTGACTGGAGGTGTCATCCGGTCGATACATAGCGATTTAAACCCTCGGAAAACTTCCTCAGGGATTTTCAAGAACAAATACCCTCTTCTTTCTTACTTTTTTAGAGATGCCTCGTCGTCGCCCTGCTCCCGAGAATCCTCAGGCTGGTCCTTCGGGGTCAGGGAAATATAAGGTAAAAGGCGATGAGCAGATCAATAGGTTTAGGGCCAAGTACGGCATTCCTCCGTGCGTAGACGTAGAGGATTTTGATCCAGTGGTGCACTCATCTACCCTCAGGGCCGAGGATGCCATGCCCTTCTATACCAAGGCCATCATAGAGGGTGGAATTAGGTTTCCTTTACCCCCCCTGCTTCTTCAGTTCCTCTCTCATTTCCGCCTCTTCCCCGGGCAATGCTGCCTTAACGTCTTCCGAATAATCATGGGGGTCTTAAAGCTCAATAGGCGCCTCGGGGTAAATATTGGGCTCAACGATCTCCTTTTCTGTTATTCCCTCCTTAGAGTCATGCCTCACCAACACTTCTACCTCAAAGCCAGGGACCCCTCCATGTACCCTGTAACCCATCTTCCTGACTCGGACAAGGGGTACAAGGACGATATCCTAATCTTCAAGGGATCTTGGCAGAGAGGTGTTGGTCCCGAGTACAATGACCTGTTATGCCCTCTGGAATGGAGAACGACAAGTACGTCGGTTCCTTTGGGTTTCTTATTTCTTTCTCCGGACTTCCCATGTTCATGACAACTTTTTTGTTTGTGCAGATATTCCTGCTCGGGAAACAGCTCCTCCCCCTCGGTCGCTGGTGAACTTTGCCGACCTAATCATGGTTTGGAGATTCACGGGTGACAACGGGTTTGGCCGTGCTGCTCACATCCTGCTGAATTATACCCCCGGGTATAAGAAATTTTCACAGCTTTCGCAGCCTTTTGAGCCTTCGCAGTGGTCTGAACTCTTATATCAGGCGGCGAGGCTAGAGGTTGAGGAAAATTTGGAGGAAGACCCGGATCGGGCTTCAGAGGCAGAGGTCGAGGGAGTTGCTGAAGAGTTCGGGGTCAGAGAGGACGCTGTTCCTTCAGACGCCGAGGTGGGGACTTCGGGAGGAGACTTGTGGCCAGACTTCCAAATTCTTCAATCCTTAGACACCGAAGACGCTCTCGAGGCAGCGATGTCCAACACCCCTCGCATCGATTTGGGGTTTCTGAGGCAGAAGCAAGCCCTCGCAGCCGGGAGAGGTCGAGGAACGACCGGCGGCACCCCTTCTGCGGGGACCAGTTCCACCCCGTCCTCGAGGGTTCTCGGTCGGGGTCAGGTGTGAGACCGGGATCCTCAGGTGGAGGAGGAGAGAAGGGTCAAACATCGGCATGATGGCCTTAGCCGAGGATCCAGGGCACCTTCCGCTCAGCAGCAAAGCGGGAGGGGCCGTGGATTACCCCTTGCTCCTCCACAACAGCAGCAGCAGCAATAGCTCTGACAACAACAACAACAACAACAGCAGCAGACTCCTCCTCCCCTTCCGCCTACAGTGGAGGCCGCGGAGTGGAATCCCCGAGCCACTGATCACATGAACCGAGTGATCAGGGTCGACGATTCCATTCTGCTGGATCCTCATGTCGTCCATGCAGTGAGTGAGACACTGCATTTCGAGGCTGACATGGCAGCTCATAGGGGGCGATCAACCAACGTGTTGTTCCGCTCCATCATCCAGAATTCCCTGGTGGTGAGTTTATTTTTGCTTTGGTTCCTTCACTCTTGCTTTCCATTTTTGTGATTAACACTTTTTCCTCCCTTTGCAGGCTACCTAGCAGATCTCCATCATTGCTGCTCGGTACCACGGGTCTAGGATGGACCTCCAGAGGGCCCGGGATCAGAAGGAGGAGGCGGAAGCGGCCCTCGCCCGGGCAATGGAAGATGTAGCTGCCAGGGATTCTACCATGGCAGGGCAGGCTGCTCAAATCGAGCAACTCCTCAAGGACGCCGAATCGGTCAAGGTTGGCGCTGAAAAACTAAGTGCTGCCCTTGCCGATGCTGAGAGGAGGATTACCGAGCAAACGCAGCGGCTTTCTGCTGCGGAGGAGAGGGCCGTAGGCTCAGAGGAAAGCTGTCTGGCCCTTACCCAGGAGCTGGACAGGATCAGGGCCAAGGAGCTGAACAGAAAATCAGAGGAGCAACTGCGGGAAGAGTTCGCCGATGACGTGTTCCCTGCTCTTGAAGAAAACAACAAGAAGTTCTTCAAGAAAGGGTGGGACGAGGCGCTCCAGTCTGCTGGAATCCCCTCAGACTCCCTTCTCTTCCAAATGCACAAGTATGTGCCCTCGGCAGAGATGGTACGGGCCGAAGCAGAGGTCGCTGCCGAGGATGAGGTTCCAACACCAGTGCATGTCTCGGTGGATCCGCCCGAGCCGGTGATAGTGGATCTGTCCGAGGACGCCCCGTCGGACCATGCCCTTGATCCTCAAAATGCCCAAGTCTCCCTGTTGCCAAGGTTCCTGTCGTGCCTGCTCCAGAAGCTTCTCAACCATTCTTTGCCGACTCGCCCTCGGCTGATGTTCTGGAGATGCCTGGAGCCAGATGAAAGTCTCTTCCTTTTTGATTGTACCCCTTTTTATTTTCTTTTGTAGCCTTTGGGGACGCAAAGCCCCTATTTCTTGAAATAAAGAGTATTTCTTTCTTTTTTCTGCGTACAATAATGTTTTGCTCCTATTGGCGAAGAGAGGTAAAGGCTACTGCCGAACGCGCGCAGGTCAGCTGAAATCCTTCTGTGGGGGGAGGACATCCCGAACGCGCGGATAAATCCCCTACAAAAAGGCGCCTTTTTGTAAGGGATAGAAATCGCTACGGATCTCATCCCTCCACTTGAAGGATTCCGGCTGACCTGGCGGCACCGAGCCCCAGGTCAGCCGGAATCCTTCAAGTGGAGGGATGAGATCCGTAGCGATTTCTACCCCTTACACTATGCACTGTGAGCAGCTTAAAAAAATGACTGTACAGTGATTTGGATGAGTGAAGTTTCATTCCTAATGATTGTGAGTCCTTGATGGAAGGAAGTTCATGCACAGCTTCCTTCAAGAACCTGGAAATTTCCTAGTCTGCTTCCTGGAATTTTCTTACCCTGCTACACAACACAAATGTTAGCCCCAAGACTTTTGGCTAGTATCAAACCATCCAAATTTAATTCCACATTAGCTTCAAAAAATTTTGGATGGTGTATAAAATCTATCGATGATATTAACTCGTATCTTACCCTAGTGGCACAGGTGAAATTACAAAGGGTATACCAAAGTTCGAATCCCATCATCATCACTTAACAATAAAAAATACTTAATAATCTTTCATAATATTGTGTATACTTTGAAAACAATTAGCGTGTGCTGCCTTGTGCACTGTATATTCCTTTTACCATAAAACTTTAGCAGGCTCCCCATATTTTACTAGATCATGCACATTTCTGATTTTCAAAATTATTCCAAAGTTTGGAAAGAGACTTGGTATTTTAGTTTTCTTCCATTCTTGTCTTTTCTTATTCAGATACTAATTCTTTTCAAAAAATTATGTTCAAAATGCACAAAAACCCCTGCAAAAGGGTCTAATATTCACCGTTTGTGTTTAATGAATTTTTTAGATTTGAAAAGTTTATTGTGTGACATTTACTACTTTAATCAATTGGGAGAAAAAAAAATTTAAAACTTGTAAGTAAAGTGTCTATCCAAGTAAAAAAATTTTTGACTCTGCCCCTCACCGAGACCCATTATATATGCAGTGTCTTTGATGAGTTTAATTAAATTAGATTAATTAAACTATATTTAGATTAATATTCTTAACTCATTTAATAAATAAATAAAAATAAATCTTAATATAACAAACAAAATTATTCTATCGATTTTCTTTTCGATATTATATCTAAAAATATTTTATAGTGGGACATGTGTACACACACAAAAAATAGGGCCTGCCACCTTTGAGTAAAACAGGTCCGGCTTGTCTGCTGTGAGGAGCCAACAGCACCATATGCTGTTAAATGGAACGGTGGCGTTTAATCCTTAAATGACGCAGTTTTGCGCGGGCTGAAAACAAAAACAAAAAAAGCCAAAACGTTGTCGTTTTCTTCTTCTGCCAAACGCCAACAGTGAACGAAAAAAAAAAAACCAAAAAAAGGATCTTCATCCTTCTCTCTCCGTCTTCTGTATCCCCATCCTGCCACTGTTTGCCATCCTCCATTTGTTCTCTCTCTCTCTCCCCATTCCCCATCCGACCTCTGTTCCTCTCTCTCTTCGCTCCCCACTGCTAACTACACACTGACGTTTTGCCTTTTTTTTTTTTTTTTTTTTTTGTGTTTTTCAGTCCCGCAAAACGGATTCGTTGAAAGATTAAACGCCACCGTTCCACCTAACAGCACCGCGTGCTGTTGGCTCTTCGCAGCAGACAAGCCGGACCCGTGAAAACAACACCAAACCATATATGCTCTTCCCACGTTTTGTGATTTGTCCAAATCCCAAAACAAGCAGATCTACAGATTCAGAGACAGTAAAGTAAACCAACCCCCAACTATATATAAATCCCCACAAGCTCGCCTAAAGATCCTCCATCTGAGATCTGCTCCAAATCTCACTCAATTTTCTCATTCTCCTCTGTTTTTCCAATTATTTTGCTCAGGTAATTCTTCAATTTTTGAATTCTCCGTAGAAAAAATTGTATACGAGATCAGTTTTGAAGTGAATGACATCAAATCCAAATGTTTCGTTAAGTTAAATTCGAATGCAATGCTTGTATTTCTGTTTCTTTATGTGGAAATTCCTTTTTTGATGAGTTTTCTGAGAATATTTGCTTTAGAATTGTTTCTGTCTCTGTTTTGAATTTTTTAGGGAGAATTTTTGGATTTTGGGGGTTTTTGTCGAAACTAGCAAACGCTAATTTAGTTGTTATTAGGAAGATTGACAAATGAACTGAGTGGACTCAGTTGAGTCTCTTCATAAGTTGATTCTTAGTAAGTTTGTAATTTTGTAATTTTGCGGATGTGGTGGCAGTGTTTGGTAATGATGGCTGCAAGGAGGCCTGGGTTAATTGCTTTGTTTGATGTGGATGGCACTCTTACGGCACCACGAAAGGTATAGCGATCTTCCTCTCTTTATATCTTTCTTTGTCGATCACATTATTGTAGAGAAAACACGCACACGGCCTATATATCAGATATTGGATTTTCTGTTTGGTGAGTCGTATGGTCCTGTTGTTCATCATCGCCTCTGTATAAATGTTGGCTTAAATGTAAGGTGAGGTGGGAGGAGAATTGTTTGTAATTCCTAGAGTGTTTCTAGTTCTAGAGTATGATGTCATCTAGCACCCGACTCCCCACGAAGTACAATGTGCAAGGTTTAAGTCTCGATTAGAAGTGGACTTGGGAAGACTAGGAAACATGCTGACTGATTCTCTAGTTTTGATGGGTAGTGCTAAATGCAAAAACACAAGTTTTTCAGCAAGATTTCTTTTTGAACTGAACTTCAATTTTTTTTCAAAGACATTCATTTTGCTTTGGTTCTCAGTGGGTTTTTATTGATTTGTATAAACTATACAGTTGAGGATCAAATATGCAGAAACATTATCATCTACTCAATATTTCCTCTAAAAATGTCAGGTGGTGACTCCAAAGATGTTAGAATTCATGCGGGAACTCCGCAAGGTACATAATTTATTATTTCCTTTCGCCTGCATAGCATGAAGAGTAATTTCCATAATGCCTCTCTTGATTTGTGGGTGTTCCTATTCCCTGTCATATTTGCTATGTAAAATTGTCTCGTCTTTATATATTTGTCTGCCTGCAGGTAGTAACAGTTGGTGTAGTTGGGGGATCTGACCTTGTTAAGATATCAGAGCAGCTTGGAAAGACAGGTTAGCTCCAATGAGCCTTTAGTTCCGATTTTGAGGCACTCATTCCAAAGAAGCTATACAGCGTAGATCTTTAAGCTTCTCATTTATTTCGTTGCCTTCCTAATGTCATTTGGGGCTTGCAATGGTGGGTTTGCTTATCTGCATTTTCATGTTTAACATAGAACAGAAGTGGGACTAAAGGTATAATTCTTTTCACTGGCTTTTGTTAAAAGTAGGAACTAGAAACAAAAACTTGCGCGGGTGACTTAGATGTGAGACCATCTGTGTTACTAAAAGGATATAATATCCATCTTGAATTTCTGAAGGACCTAATTCATTTAAATTTCCTACTTTTAAAATTATTCAATATTGTTGATATAGTGGTCTGGCACGGTATGACTACTATAGCAGCCAATTGATAAACATTAGCTAGCCTAGCTAGCACATGGGTTTCTCTATAATATTTTTGATTGTCTAAACCTATGATCTGTACTGTGTGTATGCAGTTACAAATGACTATGATTATGTGTTTGCTGAGAATGGGCTTGTGGCCTACAAGGATGGCAAATTAATTGGAACCCAGGTATGGCCTGAAACTTGGACCAGAATCTTATTAGCGAATCAAAGAAACTAGTTATACTTATATTGCCACTTGTCTTGGTGGAAATCTTATGTTGCTGAAATTGAGATAGAACAAACGATATAGGAATCATCAAGATGAGACCTTTTTCTGCAGTGAGAATAATAACAGCAAAAGAATATAAGAAAAACTAGTCAAATGAGATGTTAGGTGGTTTTTTTATCCTTTTTTTTTTTGTTGATATTTTATTGTTTCTTCCATTGATCATTATGCCTATGTATATGTTCTCTGTGCAGAGCTTGAAGTCATTTCTTGGGGATGACAAGCTCAAGGTAAGAAATTTTGCATGTTCCCTACCATAACCATTCAACACAAAGATCCAAATAGTAGTATCCTGCAGTTGGTCCTATGCAACATGCTCTTACATGTTGAGAGGTTTGAAAAGATAAAATATGCATTCTCTGCAAACAAAAATTAGCATCATTATCTATTCAGTCACATTAATTTTATGTATGATTTTATGATGTGGTGAATGTGGAATATCATGAATGTCCAATCAGATCAATTAATAATGAAAGTGCTGTGGTGGAAGACTTATCATAGATGGTAGCTTTGCATTCTACACATGCAAACCAATACTATAACAATTTGCTGGTTTTTTGATGTGATAAATTGCAAATGCTGGTGCAGGAATTCATTAATTTTACACTTCATTACATTGCCGACTTGGATATCCCCATAAAAAGGTTAGCTGAGCAAATCATGTATACAATTCTCCATTTATAATAAGCGTCTTAGAATCTTTATTTTTTTCCTTTCAGGGGAACTTTTATAGAGTTCCGAAGTGGGATGCTCAATGTATCACCAATTGGGCGAAACTGTAGTCAAGAAGAACGAGATGATTTTGAGAAGTATGACAAGGTATAAAATTTCGATTACTTGTAGCCGCATGGTCAATTCAAAATTTTATTTTTTAACATACACTTTTTGTTTGGGTAGTCAAAGAAATGTTTTATTGAAATTATATTCAGGTTCACAATATACGCCCAAAAATGGTATCAGTGCTTCGTGAGAAGTTTGCACACCTTAACCTTACGTTTTCTATTGGTGGACAAATTAGCTTTGATGTAAGTGATTGCTATTTATTGATGTTCCGGTCCTTATTCAACTGCAAAATAGAATAGGAGTGAGGGTTGGAGTTGAATTTTTTGCGGGTAAAATGGTTATGACAGGTTTTTCCTCATGGCTGGGATAAGACATATTGCCTGAGATACCTGGATGATTTCGATGAGATCCACTTCTTTGGAGACAAAACTTATAAGGTACTCACCTTTGTCTTATAATTATCTTGGTGCTTTTTCCGTACCACTATATTCCCTTCGTAGAGAATGTCTCTATACATGTCCTCGTAGATTAATTCATGGCGTTCTGCTGTTTCAAGGATTTTTTTTTTCCTTTTGGCCATGACCGTAAGAACCTCTTGTTTTTTTTTGGTTGAACAGGGTGGAAATGACTTCGAGATCTATGAATCCCAGCGAACCGTGGGTCACACAGGTCAGCTTTATATTTCAGCTTATTTATTGGTAATTAAAACTATACCAGTTTGCTTTCAGGTGCACCTACATGTAGGTATGTATGTTTCTACATCTGGCAGATGTGATGCTTGTGAACATTAGTGGGTGCATCACAAATCAAAATAATTAGAGTGATAGATAATCGTTTCGCTTATCTTGGAATCCTATGCATGGTTCTCTTATGAAACGAAGACAGTTTTTTAATGCTGGGTGTTATCAATGCTCTTCCTTTCACTACTGCCAGTACAATGTCATATCAAATTGAACTTTTGTTTCTTTTGTTCTCAGTTACTAGCCCTGATGATACAGTGGAACAGTGTCAAAGTGTTTTCCTAGCCAAGCAAGATGGAGGCCTCTGAGCTTGTTGCACCTATGATTTCAATTATATGCCCATGGTGATTTATGGCTATGCCACACAAATAAATTTTGTTACTTCAAAATATGTTCACTGTATTACCTATTTTATGTACCACTGAGTTGTAGGCTTATTTTCTGGCCATGTTTAACTGATTAAATCTTTTCATCCCAATTTAGATGAGTCCCCCTCGCTTCTTTTTCTCCCCTTCTAACCTGTATGAAGTTCAATTCCTCCATTACAACATTCAAGCCTGTGGAATAACCACAAAATTCACTCAAACGCAGAAGCACAAAGGCCTTGACCTGAATGCAGATGTTCAATTTCTATATTTCGGGAACAAGGAAGAAACAAGATCAACAACCATCTCTGATATGAATTAGCAGTACTGGAATCTGAGAGTTAAAGTTATAGCCATTTACCTTCCAAAAAAAAAAGGCCACCAACCTTTCTGACAACTGTAAGATCAAACTATGCAATATATCGTTCACATTAAAAAAGACCTATCTCATCGGTCCTGTTTTGGGGAACTCATTCCTAGTGCCCAAACCCTTCACTCCTCCTGAAGTTCTCTCTAGTCACAATATCAATTGTCCATCCAGATTCACACATTAACTATCACTTGTGTGGTTTCCCTATGGAGATCAGGCTGAACATACAAATCACACCAGATGCTTTTCTCGAATTTTATGTGTTGGGAGAAGACAGCTAGGCAAGGACCAGGACATGCTCACCACAAAAACAGGGAGGATGCTCAAATGAACCTAAATAGAAGGGTTGGGAGGGGGCGACCAACCAAATTTCATTATATCATTATCCCTTGTTAGAAAGGTAACTTTGAATCTCTCACTTGAAGTTGTGAATTCTTTTTGCTGAGATGAGAGTATTAGAAAGGAGCATTGCTATGGTCATCGGCCCCACTCCCCCAGGAACAGGAGTAATAGCTGAAGCAATTTTGCAGGCCTCCTCGTAACAAACATCTCCAACTAGCCTATAGCCTCGAGGGCTTTTAGCATCCTGTTGTCATAGAGGCACACAAATTAGTTAACTGATCTGTAGAAGTGAACTGAAAACCAAAATCCAACAAAGCCTAACCAAGTCATTCCACATTCCTTATTAAACAGGTAATAGTAAAGTCATATCTAGCATCCCAAAACATTTAATGGTTTTGGATGATTCTAAGCATGTGCTGTTAACTGTGATGCCACGATTAAATAACTAGTGCTATTAGGTGCATGTGCAAACTAGTGCTATTAGATGCATGTGCATGTAAACAAATCCTATAACATGCATGTGTGTCCACATATTCTGCGCATGTCCCTGAGTGTGTGTGTGTGTGTGAGAGAGAGAGAGAGGTGTGTGCATTATGTAGAGAGAAGACCTTGGATAGAGTTTGTTTACCTCGACTGGATTAATTCCAACATCAATAATAACTGCACCAGGCTTTATCCAGTTACCCCTCACCATGTTTGGTTGCCCTACTGCTGCGATTATTATATCTGCTTGTTTTGAGATCTCCTCGGGTTTCTTGGTTCTGGAATGGACGATACTGACAGTGGCATCTTCCCTCTATCAGCAAAAAAGCCAAGAAGATTTAGTAAATTGGGGAACAAAAATGAACACAAAAAGATCTAAAACTTCCTTCTACAATGTTTTAAATAAAAGTGTTTGGGCAAATAGAACATTACTTGCAGCAACAAAGCAGCAGGCATTCCAACAATATTGCTTCGACCAATCACAACAGCCCTCTTTCCCTTGATGCTGACACCATGTGTATGCAACAACTCTATGCATCCTTTAGGTGTACATGGAACAAACAATGGTTCTCTACCTCGCATGGCAAGACGCCCGATGTTTAATGGGTGGAATCCATCTACATCTTTCTCAATGCAAACAGCATTCAGAATGTTTTGCTCATTCATATGCTGCTCCAAAATCCATCAAACGCAATGACAACTGTGTTATAATCACATATATGACAACTTATCCAAATGAACGAAAAACAAAAAAACAAGTTCAATATACAGAACTTCATAGCTAATGCAACAAATCATTATTCAGTTTTATTTTTCTTGGAAGCTGGGGGGTTGGGGTTCCACATTTTCACTGTTACTACCAAATCTAGTATTTTCCATTATATGAGATATCGAATAATCAGTCACAGTTCATTAAATCAAAAAATAAAAGAAAAGAATAAATCCAAATTTAGAAGCATACAAGAGGCAAAGGTAACTGAACAAGGATGCCGTGTACTGAAGGATCATCATTGAAGGTTGAGATATACTTGAGCACTTCTTGTTCTGTCGAGTCCTCCGGCAAGCAAACTTCATACGAATTGATCCCTACTGATTCACAAGCTTTTTTCTTGTTGCGTACATAAGTTGCAGAATCCTTCCTATCCCCAACTAGGATAACTGCTAACCCTGGTGCAACACCTATTGAGTGCTTCATCCTGTATATTTCAGCAGTTATTTCATCTCTGATTTCTTTTGCCACTGATTTCCCATCAATAACCTTCGCAGAAGCCTCAGTTGTCATTGCAGCTGCATATTAAATTAAACGCAACAGTTGAGCATGAAAGTCAAAAGATCCAACAGAAAAGTAAGTAATTCCTGTCCACCAACATGCTGCCCAACCACTAACAAATAGGCTGTAACAATTCACGTGAAACCAAAAGTCTATGCATTGGAGCCACATCCTACAAAAAGGGATAATGAAAAATTCATTTGGTGAAATCATTTCCAGCATAATTAATTAGAGCAGCTATGTTTCTGGACATAAAAAGCTTCCATATCAAGCATGGTAGGAGATTAGCACATTGCAGTGGTTGTGTTGTATCCAACATGTTCATCCTAGGAAACAAACCCAGTAGTGGTATCCAGTGAAACAATTGAGTAATGAATAAAAATGTCCCTAAAACTTCTAGCGAAACCTGCCTAATTTATTTCCTTAAACCTGTATCACTGACACAAGGCACAAACACTAACAGGACACTACTTAGACACTCGAACACTGAAAATCCTAACAGTAGTGCATATACCTGCTAAGGACCAAATATACTGTAATATGTGTAATATATAATTAGCAAGGATCCGGAGAGACGGAGAAGAGTAAAAGAGGAAAGGAGAGGAAATGTATAACATACCGGACAAATATACAATGCCTTCCTAACAATTGGGTCTAGAATGTTAAGAAAAACCAAAAACACAAGCAAAATGTGTGAACTGTGTCCAAATGCATTCAGTTGGTCCAAAGAAGTGCCCACTCTTCTTCTTCTGATTGTTCTTTTCCTTTAATCTTCTACCAAACTGCCGATTATTGAGGAACTCAACCTAGTTCCCCAGGTCGTAAAGTTTAAGGTGAGGCAACAATGTATCGAAGTAGATATAATTTTGCAGTGGGATGAACAGACACAGCTGGCATCTCAAAATATAGGATGCCCAATTTCAGATAATATGATAACACTCTTCACAGTTTCACCTTAAGCCTTTAAGCAGTCAGCACTAAAATATAACTCTATCTAAATCCACCTCAGGTCCACAGAAAAACATCAAAAAGTTTCTTCAAACCACTCCTAAAACTCATATTAATCAAGCATAATTCGAACATTACATTTACTGCCAAGAGTCTCAACAGCAGAATCATCCCCTACCAACTAGAGATCATAGCACGCCTGTCAGCGATCCACGATACAATTCTCAAACTGTTTCTTTATTGCTCTGGAGATCATAGCACGCCTAATTGAGCGATAAGTAACACTACATTCACTTAAGTTTCCAACACAAACTCACCAACCTAACCTGGTATCAAACTTCACAAGCATTTCACATCTCCTATAAAATGCAAAAACCCGCCAATAATAAAGAATAAGAGTGTTCATATCAAGTAATAAGTGCACGACTAACACCATAAATACCACCAAAATCCAATCAAAAATTTTCATTTTTCTGCGTTTGTATACGCGATGTGATGACTGAAAAGATAACATATTTTAGGGATTGTACCTGTGATAAGACAAGGCAAAGGAGAGGCGGTGTGAGTGATGGTGGTTCTGGGAAAGGTAAGGTTTGTGGGACCCAAAAGGAAAGATGCCGGCCGGCGGAGATGGAAGAGGCCGTGCCGGCGCAATGGGGGAAGCCGATACGCTGTCGAAGATGATTGACAGTCCGCGAACATCATCATGGACGCCATACGGTGAAATTTACGAAGTATTTGTAGTCTCAACCCTATGCTTGAGCTCGGGTAGACGGACCTACTAGGGTTTTAGCTTTCTCTGCAGCAGCAGGAAAATAAGGGTTTGAGAGAGAGACAGAGAGAGTGAACTGCTTTCTTTCTCTTCAAGGGAAGAAGACAAGTGGAGGAGAGAGAAAAAGCTCGATTCTTTTGTTTTTCTGAAAACGACGTCGTTAGCTTGTCGCGCAAAAAAAAAATCCCATCCGCCCGTTTCAAATATTTTAATTTTAGGTAAATTAAATCCAGACCCCTGAGATTTATCACTTACTCAAACAGGCCCCTTACATTTGACAATTTACAACGTTAACATAGTATCTTTTTATCAAAAAAGTGTTGATATAATATCAATATAGCATAAAATGATTTCTCCCTATATAATGTTTTCTTTATATTTAAAGATCGACTCTAAAATATTAAAATCGATCTCCAACAATATCATTCACTTGTATTTTGATCCTCAAAAAATTATTACTTGATCTTGTTTCAGTACTACTGAAACAATAATCTTGTCATACTCTAACCCTACTAACATTTTTTTAAAATTGTTTAATTAATAATTTACCCACAAAATCCATGGAAAATCGAATCATAGTAACCATGCACCTCTTAATCTCACCGCTGCAATGCAAGTCTCATATTTACACAGTTAAATCCAGGCGTCTCTATCCTTATTCAATCACTGAACCAACTTGTGCGGGTAATTTCATTCTTCTTTGTTGAACTACAATCCTTAGACATATTCAGTCATCAAAGGTTTCTCTCAGCAGCATTCACAGCACCAGTTAAATAGCACGAGCACGAGTAACACGGCACAGTGGAGACGGGGTTCCTGGTGTAAACCTAGAGGATTTGGGAACATCTTGTGACAAACAAAGACTCACCTTTTAGACATTTTACACGAAACGGGTCTACCAAAATTAATCAAACAAAAAAATGTGTGATTAATCAGTGAGGTGCTTATCTATTGTCACTTCTGTAGCTACATTTCTGTACAATTTATACCAATGGGACAGCTAACCACTTTTGGTCATGAATCCTGTTCTTCTGTTCTTTTTCTGTTTTCTCGGAAAGAAATCGTCTCGGCTTATCTGGGTTGATGAGTTATATTGCCAGTGTTCCCTCGGAAACTTGGTTCTCGTCCAACAAATCTGAGGGTTGGGATTTGGGTTTGCTCATGATCCGAGAATATCCATAACCAAGAGAACTTCCGCGGGCTTCACATAGCTGAAACCAAGCATACAACTATTTGGTAACTCTATTGATGCTTAGGCACGTTCCCAAGAAACGAATAAAAATGTTTACGGCCAACACTGCCAACATCATATTCAAGAAATGACCACAGTTTAGTAGTACCTCTGTGAGTTCAGAGAGATGGCGAGACCTAAACTCATTAATTGTCGCTGCTATCTCTGACATTGGCAGTTTGGTCTGTTGGTGGAGACAAGAAAAAGTTAGGAAACAAGAAAAGATTAATAGAAATGGAAGAAACCAGCGAACTATATACATGCCACTGTCAGCAAACAACAGTAGAATTCATGCCCACCGTGTTAACCAATCTGACGAATTGGTTGTACAAGCTGGTCAAACTCCTGTTTTCTCTCCACAAAATGCATGAGGAATAGCACTTAGTTTTGATTTGAACATCACTCCCCCCCAAAAATAATTATCACCCCTCTAATCTATTTGCATTTTATATAATTTTCATCAAGAGAAACTTGGGTGATAACTTATTCTGATGACGAGCTGGCGCGTCACATGTGAATCAATGAGAATAACATCCCAGATTCACTTGCATATCATTTGTTACTATGTGATTGCATACCACATGCCATCATTTATAATTATCAGAAAGTGCCCAGAATTTAAAAAAAAAAAACCAAGCATCAATCCAATGTAAACAGTAAAAAAATCAACACAAATCAGTAGCATCCATTCCCCTTACTTGTGCAAGAACAGCCGTTGCTAGCTGTAGACTTGGTTCCAAGGTCTCTGGGACGACCTGAGAAATTTATGATGAACACAAATTAAAAAGATTTATCCACAATGCGCAACAAATCATGAACTCACACAACATTACACTTCCACTAATCATGATATTATACAGTATAATCTGGATATATGAACTTACAGATTACATCCAGGGGAACCAAGAGAAAATGAATAGAACCAATTAAGAAAACAGGTTACAGAAAGATACCGCTGTTGCCCCAGCCTTTTCCAGATTCAGACCATGATCGACATCATGAGCGCGTACAAAAGTTTTCACATTGGGGAAGTGCTTGCTCAAAGCCCAGACAGTTCTATAATTTGCACCAGGAGAATCTAAAGTTACTGCTGCAGCACATGCTCTTTCAGCACCAATTTTATGGAGTACCTGCCAGATAGGAAAACTTAGAGGCATGTCAGAAATGCAAACCTGCAAGAAAACTACGTAATTTTGTCACAGTTTGCTTTACCTCCCTGCTACCAGCATCTCCAAAATAAACAGGAAGGTCAAGTGCACGACCAACTGCTACCCGATCGCTGAAAATAGAGGAAATTCATATTACATACCAGGATGCTATTACAGGATAGGCAAATTCATCAGAGAAAAAAAATTACATTTGCCTTTTCTTTTTCAATTGTACTTATTTTTATATAAACCAATTTACTTCAGAGAAACCAAAAATAGCATAACAATAATGGTACAAAACTAGCAACCAAAGCATGTATAGTCCAGTATTCACTTCCAAGAGATAAGAGTTGACATCAAATTGAAGCATTGTTCCATTTTGCTATAGGAAAAAACATAATAATGACAATAATACTGCTCCTAAAAAATCTTTTGGTCTTATTTCTTTTTTGCAAAAGAGCTGCCACGGTTAAAAGGCATTTCAGAAGACAGGAATAATAAACTATAACTAGTTTTTCATCATGGTTAGTTAAAGTATAAGCAATGAAAATCCAACTCCAGTCAACTCAAATGACAAAGCAACATAATTCACTGCAAGGAGATTGACGAGGATTCTATCTACACCATGCCACTCTATCTGCTAAAACTTTTGATCCAATCACAGACCATTATATCATTAGTTACTGCCTCAACCCACTTTTTGACATTCCTTTCGTCCTTGTAGGCCCTTGAACTTTGAATCAAATGCTCCTCAGTAGTGTGATCATTATCATTAGTCTTAATATTCATGAGAGACCATAGTAAACAGGATTCAAAGTCACAATATTGGTATTGCAGGGCCCCAGTTTACTTTGACGCAAGAGGAAGAAAGAAGAAACTCATACCTCCTCACATCTAGAGCAACAAAGGGAATTAGGCGTTCAGAAAGAAGCTGGGCAATGATCTGTAAGAAACAAAAATAAAAAATAAGAATCGAACATAAAGTAGAAACTGCCACTGTTACAAATTCACACACGAGATAGACAATCGATCCTCCAACTAATCTATTTTTAAATTAATACATTAACAAGATTTAAAGGCCGTGACAAGCACCTGGCCAACACGTCCAAATCCACAGATAATAATGTGGTCTTGCAAATCATCTGTCTGAAAAGAAAAACCAAACAGTGTCAAGATTTATGCAATGAGCAGATTTTGACATATGCAATTTAAAAGAAGAAAGAGAAAAAATAAAGCCAATCCCAAGCTACAAAGCATATTTACATTCAACTTCTTGTAAACCAAAAGGACCTAACAGGATAAACAACAATCGGTAAACTACTGATACAAATTCTTGCTCCAGATATCACTAACAAGCACACAAGCTTAGGTATTTCACCTCACTCTCTACAGGTAATAAACTTCGCACATCATGCTGCTCAAAACGAGAGGCTATTAATTGGCCTCCAGCAGCTAACCATGGTGTGAGGGCCATCGAAATCCCCACCACAAGAAACAGCAAAGATGACAGCTGGGAAGACATTATACCCTGCAAATCAAGCCAATTAGAAATATTACTTGTACTTCCAATAACTTCTATTGTAGGAAAAATTTCCTAAATTTTGCTTCCTACTTGGCACTAAACAAATCAGATGCCAGGCATTTTAAGGACTGAAGGTGCCAAGGCATCTTAACCATTTGAGCCAAGGAAGGAAGCAGGACAAGTGTTGCCCAACATGTGCCCATTGGAAAAGGGGGTATTAAAAAGGAATGATGTTGTAAATCGTCATTTAATCTACTTCACAAAAAACCAAACGAAAATATACAGGCTCCCCCCCCCCCCAAACCAACAAAAAAAAAAACCAGAAAAACCAAAATATTTAGGTCAAAATCAAGAGTGCTTGAGACACTCAAGAGTCACTAATAATGTCGGGCTTAATTATACAGGTCCCATGGATTAATTGTTATTTAAAGTCCTATGAATCATAAAGGCAACATGTAAAATCTAATACAGAGCATTACCAAGAAATTTCACTAAAGCTGTATAAAACCTTGGTGTTAATCAGCACATTTAAATGAAAATCAAATAACAGAAAAGTGACACGCATAAGCATCCAAAAAAACAACTATTGACAAATAAGCTGCAAAAATACTTAGTTCGGCAAGAGGGAAACCTGATTAACAGCTTCACCAAAAGCCACAAATGCGAATTCTCCACCAGGAGCAAGAAGAAGACCAACTCTTATTGCAGAAAATACTGAAATACCAAAAAGTCTACCAACTAACACAACCAACATGGCCTTGCCAACAATTAGAAGTCCTAACGTCCCCATAACAACTGAAAAATTTGAGACAAAGAGTTTTGGATTGATGGACATTCCAACCTGAAAACAAAAGAATATCTGCTGCTGAGTGCAAGAGTAACTATCTGTTACGATAAAAAAAGGTACTACTCTTTGCTGTAGCAACTGGTAGCATATTTTAGTCTTAAAGTACAAATTCTTGAAGGACAACTTGAAGGACAATCTACATAATATGGGTGGCCCAAAAAGCTGTAGGACCACACAAAACAGAGAATTTTACACACATTCTCTCTCATGAGGATTCTTTATGTGCAAGATCCAATAAGAAACTTCTAGAGCCACAATCAAGGTATATATTGTATGTATTAATGATAAGTGGGTCTTATAGATGCAACTGAGGGCCTACCGTCATAAAGAAGACACCCAATAGAAGGCCACGATAAGGAGCAATATCCGATTCAACCTGCAATGAAAACTCGGTTTCTGCAAGAAGCAAACCAGCCAAAAATGCTCCCAGCGCCATGGAAAGGCCAGCCTGAACGATTTTTTTATAATAGAGGCATATTATTATTGCTATAACCATATACAGAAATAGTAATTAATATCACAAGTCCAACTACCCTGGCAGTAAGGAGACTAGTCCCGAGAATGACGAGGAGTGTATTTGCTGAGAATATTTCTGCATTTTGATTCTCTGCAATTTGCTTATAAATTGGCCGAAGCAGCTGCAAATTAGCCAAGGAAGTAGATGGTGAAGGTTAAAGCCATAGAACAGTTTCAGATAGTAAGATGCATAAAAACACTGCACATCACTATAGGTATGCGTTTCCTTGAATACATTTATTTCTGCACAAGGAAAATTTAGCTCGAAAGTTCTTGCCACAAAAATACTAGTTGAGAACCTAAAAATGAAATATCCAGTTGTTAGCCATGATGGAGGTGCAGTAAATCCCTCTGAAACTCAGTAGAAGGGTTTAACCAACCCGACCCGTGGGAGCTATTGAGCTAGTTAAAAGAAAGAAGTTGCGCCTTCATTAACAACTATAGTTTTTGGTGCAACGATAAGCGCTTCGATCCAATAATTGGTATCAAAGCGAAGTCATGGGTTCGAGTCTCAGGGTAGTTGCTGAGGGAGAGATTGTTGGCCTAGATGGAGGTGTAGCAAGTCTCCTGAGACTCGATGGAAGGGTTTAACCAGCCCGACCCGTGGGGGCTGCTAAGCTAGTTAAAAGAAACAAGTTGCACCCTCACTAACAGCTATAGCTTTTGGTGAAACGGTAAGCGCTTCGATCCAACACCAACTACTTATAGGACTCACCAGGCGCCCTCCAGCAATTATGGCCGTAATAGCAACAATTGCCTTCACAGCAGCCAATCCAAGTGCTTCAGCAATTGCTTGGAAACCAACCTGAAGACAGATGAAATAATTGCCCAATACAAAAACATAAGCAGCCGCAGTGGAAAAGTCGTGGCAGAAACAGATATAATATAACAGAAGTTATAACTGACACAAGCAACCATAACGAAGAAAGGAGCAACATCCAATCGATGGTTATAATTTTGACTTTTGCAGATAAAATCGATCTTAGCATTATATGGTCAAAGCAGATACTTCAGCAGAAAAGGTGGTGTGCCTTGCCTAAAAATACTGCATGAATAGTATTTAAACAAGCAAGATAAGATGCCTCTGAATTATGTCATATAAATTGTGAGAATAAGTTAGAATTGTTACCCCTCCTTTGGATGAATTTGGTGAAATAAGAGGTATGAGTATTAGCAAAACTACAACAGCCAAATCCTGAAGGAAAACCAAAGAGGAAAATACAATCAATTAGAGAAAAAATAAAATCAAGCTGAACGTCACACATAAACAAAATCACATTAATATTGAGCACAAAGAAAAAGCCATATCATGATAGGAGAAAATTGAAGAGTTGCAGCTGTAATTTAGCTATGTTGCTCAATGTGAAAATACAAGATTATGGATCATAAAGTAAGATATATACTGTACAGAAATATAACTCAGAAGCAAAGATACGGCCAATATGTAGAAATCCATAAAGTCAACTATGATCCTTGTGTAACATCCGCAATATGTTGAGTTTAACATACATTTCATGACTTCCAACATTATATTATAACATTTTCTAAGTTCATTATTTGTTAGAGCATATGGATACCTGGAAAAGTAATACAGAAAAGGTAGCTCGCCCATGACGAGATGTGCTCTCACCTCGTTCCTGCAATACCTGCAGAAGAAATTCCAACAGGAATCAAGTGCAAGCTAAGAGGGTATGTGCATGTCTTGACCACTTAATCCCCAATTAAACACAATAACCTAAGGATTAACAGGTAAATGCCGGCAAAAAGCAGTGGAACATCATGATTTTCCAAAGGAAGAAGCAGGTTTAAATTTTGCAATCAGTAAGGAAAGGCTCAAACAAGACGAAGGTTAAACAGAGTCATTCGAAAGAAACTGAAATAATATGTATTAAATCCTCTAAAACCGAACAGCGATTCTGATGCTGGAGCATTAACTAATAATTCCATCATGTAGTGACGATTCTTCAGTGGTATGCTGGGGCATCTAAGTACCAACAAAGGCAAGCACAAAGTCTATATCACGTATTAGACAAGGTTGTTTGAAGTAATCTCCGAAGGCACCTTCCAACATTCCCAGACACTCAGGTATAAAGGAGACAATAATATGGCTGTGACTATATTTCCACAAATTTAGATTTGAATATGCTACAAAACTATTTTAGACCTAAATACAATTAGGTTTGGCCACTGATCAGTTTTTTCAGCCATATATGTTTCTCTGAAGTTGCTGAACCAAGACCAAACCAGCTTGCTCTTTATCGTGTTGCAAAAAATAGTAAAGCCCTTCTTTAAAAAATAGGGGCACTTGCTTGTTGCTATAGAAAAAATTTGAGGTTTCCCTGCACGTGAACATAGTTTGAATCTAGCGCTTTCTTTGAGTGGGATTTCTTTTGTTTTATCTTTACTTTGTTCATTCTTTCTTTGAAGTTTTCCAACTATTCAGCAAGAGAAATGAAAGTTGCCTAAAAGTTGAATTAAATTGACAATTTCTGATTTGAAGGCATATTTTCATGGCACAGAAAAATGTCACCACCAGATTAACCACATACTCATACATAAGCAAAAACAGCAAAGGACAATTACCTGAAGGACAACAGCAGTTGAAGATAATGCCAGGCCATTCCCGATGACAATTGCAGCTGGACCTGGCTGCCCAGTAACAAAATGAGCAACCAAGCCAACCACCACTGCTGTCACCAAGACCTGCATTTCTTATGCACATTAGAGTTATAAGATAGGAAACTAGCGCATGAATTATGTGCAAGAAAAAAATGTCTTGTGCCAAAAAAATGGTATGCTTTCAATCACCTGTGCTGAGCCCAAACCAAAAACATATTTCTTCATGGAACTTAATCTTTCAACAGAAAGCTGCAAAAGAATGAGCAAGGCCAGTTTCATTCTCCATATTGTATGAGTATAAAAAAGCATTGTCTTAAAGAAATTTTGATCAAGATTCCATGAATTCCACCTCAAGTCCAATATTGAACAGCAAGAACACAACTCCAAATTCAGCAATTGCCTTTGTCACATGTACATGACGAATAATGGAGAGCCCATAAGGTCCAATTAAGATGCCAGCAGCAAGATACCCAAGAACGGGACTACCTAAACACAGACGATACATCATCAATGCAACAACCCAAAGACTTCGAGGAGCATATTTTAGTCTTTTTAGAAAGGAAAAGATGAACCGATTACATGATGGCCCAGTAGAAGAACTGTCTAGTTTTTGTCATTAAAATCACAAAACCATATTCGTAAGTTGTTAGAAGATAGATTGATCTACTTCCAGGCTATCTGAAACAAAAATTTATAACAACTAACAAAAAGAGGTGAAAAAGGGCTGGCCGGAGAATGAGCAGTAAGAGGCAAAATCCAATTATAAAATAAAATTTTTGCAGGCAAACATATTAAAATGTCAAAGCATGTAGTAAGAGACAACCTTATTAGATCAAAAGCAGAAAATGCGGATGAGAAGGCCTCTATTTCACAGCTAGAAGAATAGATAAAGAAATTCAGTCACCTCCAGGGATTTTCTGGAATATAGGAACAAATATTACACTTGCAAGCAATAACCACAACATGTCAAATAGAGAAGCTTCTTCCTCATTTACCTGAGAGAAAAAAGAAGAAAAAACATTTGATCAGGAAGAACAAAATAAATAGATAAAAAAATAGTATAATTTATTATATTTTGAGCCAAAAGCATCGACCAAAAAGTGTTTTGAGTCACATGCCTCCTGATGAGGAAGCATTTCCATAAATGTTTTTATTCTCTTGGGCAATTTCCTTATTTGTCTGACCAGAGGCTTTGTGTTTGAAGAAACTTCATCAATACTGGTAGTGATAATGTCTGGCTGTTGAAACAGCTGATTAATTGTATCTTTCCGGTTGGCATAAAAAGCAATCCTGTGATAAATAGAAGCACCATGTGACCAAAGGAAGGCAAACCCTCACACTATATACAGCAAAATAAAAACCAATAGCACACTCTGCTATCAGAAAGAAGTAACAAGAAACTAATAACAGAGAAATTTTAACAGTAAAGCATGTCATGGATATAACTGTAAAGCAGTACAATAGATGGAATCATTCTGATGATAATGCATACCCTGCTCCGACAAGCAATGAACCAACCACCAGCTTAGGCAATTGCTTACTTGCAGACTCTACAAGAGTATGGAAAGCTGAAGCCGGTGTGAACTCAGTCCCATCTACTGTAAAAGAGAAGAATGATGCAGAAAAGAAACGGGATGACTTGTTCAATAATGCTTTTGGTGCATTGAACAGCGAGCTGTCCCTAGTCAAATCCTTCTGTATTTCCTGCTTCTTAGGTTGGACATTCTTTGACTTCTCTGCATCTAATTCAGTGTCTTTTGGTGAGTCTAGAGTTAATTTCCCATTCTCTCGGTTATCTGGTAGAGCATCCCCAACCAAAGAAGCAACATCAATTGGCATATCTTTATCTCTTTCAGCAATGACATCACCTGAAGTTCCTCGACTCGTTTGCTCCTCGTCAACGATTGCCCCATCACTCAATACTTGTCCATGGGACGATGATCCCTTTGGGGACATTGGACTTTCTGGCGTATCTGCATGGGAAATACAGATATTTTTCTCTACTTTATGCAAGGCAATCTCTGCATCATTCACGCGCTGTGTAGCCTCAAGCTCGAAAGCAACAGCTTGCTCTGCTAGAAGCATTATATTTGCAACATCCTCCTCAGCTTTCAGAGCATTCAATTCTGCTTGCTCTGCAATCTCATTCAGCCTGTCCACTTCCTTCTGCAACTCTTCTTTTTTGCATTGCAACCGTCTCAGCTCTGTCTCACAATTTGCCAGATGATCCTGGAACTCTCTGATATCATCCTGAGCAACCAAGAGCACTTCCCTCTCTCCCCTCAATTCATAATTTGAATCACTCTCTCCACAAGCATCTGGTGAAACCCCTGTTTCTTTTGCAGATGTTAATGAATTCAGTGCAACCTGAAGCCTCGCCTCAGCCAAAGAAAGGGTCATTGTTGCTTTCTGGACAGCTTCTTTAGCAACAGCCCCTTCATTTACAACTTCTTGAATAGTATTAAGGGTAGAATTAACATCATTCCAAGCATTTGTTGCTTCATCCTTTAACGCTATAGCAGCTTCTGATATTCTCTGAGCCTTTTCTTCAAACACGGTACTGTTAAGCTTCGCAATCTCCAACTCCTTAAGTGCCTTCTGCAACAACTCTCTCAACTCATCCACACCACGCACCTGTACTTCTTGATCTTCTTCCTCCAATTGTTCTTGCAAACCATTCGACTCTGCACTGCCATGACTTCCCACCCTTGAGCTCTCTTCACTAGGACTTTCTTCAAATTCTACCTTTCGACCATTACCATCAATATATGCAACCGAATCATTACCCTGACATCGTGATTGAACTACGCCCCTTGATGTCTCAATTGTACACCCAAAATTATGGACCGAAGAATTGAAAACATTATGACACCACAAATGACTATGTAATTCACCTTTAGAAACTATGGACTTGATGACACTACCACTGTATGCAGGGAGTTTTTTCAACTTCTTTGCTGGGCATGCTCTCAATAAAAGCCTCGGATTGCCAAGAAATCTTTTACAGTGAACATCTTTATAATTAAAACCCGAATACAAACTTAATCTACCCAACGCTCTATAACCCGTGCCTTCACCACCATGGAACACATTTGGCTGTCGAAAATTACACCCAAAATCCATACCTCACTTTTTTTCTAAGGCACAAAACAAACAATATCCATTTCACAAAGTCATTAACTTCGAATCAAATACCTGACAAAACAACACAATTTCACAACAAAAATAAGAACAATATGTAGTAATTTAGTCTAGCCCATACGAATTAAACTCGAGTAACACCTAGCCATACTTTCAGACTTAGCAAAATAAATACATCAATATATGCATGTACACCTGCATACATGCCCATATATGTGAACACAGAGATAATGAAAATGCTTAATTCAGCCGTAAGGTTTTCGGCCTCTCAAGCACAAGAATGCAGGTTCGAGTTCGAGACCAGCCACGTTGTGGGGATATGCCAGAGGTAGTGGCATTTTTGTTTACAAACACATGAATCTAAATATGTGATTGTCTGTGTGTAAGATTATTCAATTACATCCAACTTATGTATTCATGTATTTACTACGTATCATATGTGCATATCTTCCACTAGAACATCGAATTTCTTTTGCCTTCCGAAAACCATACACACATTCCAAATCCCAACCTCTCTGGCTTGCTAAGACACAAGATGTGCAACATCTACCAGCACAATCTCCAACATATTTCAAAGTAACAAACTCTCATTGGCATCATATCAAACACCTGGCGAAACAATAAACTTCACACAAACATAAGAACAGATTAACACTTTTAGTTCGATTCTTCAGTTGAATCCCAAGGTCTTAGTAGGAAAACAAATTTGAAAAGCTAATTAATCTGTATCCCAACTACATAACAATTCTGACACACACACATATATAATATTTGTCCACAGAGATACAGAGCGGAGTGTGTGTAGCATAAGATTCCATTGATGTAGGTGACAGTATAATAAATTGAAAGAGTTGAACTCACCGATGACTTGAGAAAATCTCCGGCGGACTTTCCCAGGAAAATTTGGGTCAGGTCAGGAAATGATGGAACTGATAACAGATCGACACTGGCTTTTCAGCTTTCGGTTTTGCTGCTTTGTCCGAATGGGAGCGAAGACTGTGCAGCAAATGATGAACAGTATATTCTCTCTCCTCTGTTTGGGGGAAGAGAAAATGAAAATAGAATTGCTCATTGCTGAGTATATTTTTCTTTTGTAATTTTACTGAAATACCCATTTTGATTTTTTTTGTGGGGACAAAAAATATCCATCTTCAAAATATTTCGGATAAATATTATAATTAGTCTTTAAAATTTTCTTATTATTTTTAAAATAATCAATGAACTTTTAATTATTTAAATTTAATCTCAATTAAGTCTTTTGATTAATGTGAACAATCACACGACAAACGCTTGTTTACCTCATTTGTTTTTTGTTTATTTATTTAACGGTTAGGGATATTTGAGTCAGTTTACATGTACTTCGACTAATATTGTCATCAGCTTGATCAAAGACAAATAATCTATGCATAGAATTAAGGTATTCATGATAAATAAATCTCTTATAATTTTAGCCCAAGGAGTTGCAGAGTTTCAAATTCATAACGTGTAAATTTACAATTCGTTTTTGTTATCACTTAAGTTAGTCATTGGAGTTTACCTTCATTTATTCTAACAAAATGACTTAATAAGATAAAAGTATTTTCATTGGATGGAAAATCAGAAATAATTGATAGGGATTGTTGTAAATTGAACTAAATGTTATTACAATTATTTATACAAAGTCAAACTATATTTATAATGACAAGTAGTGAAGCTGGCATGTAATAATGTATACTAAATTCAACTAATGGAGTTAGTTGGATTATAGATGGCAGAGATAAAGATGTAGTTTTAGTTATAAGGGTAAGATGTAATTTTTTTATCAATATTGAATATGCCAAAATTATGTGATAGCAAAATGATTAATAAAAAAAAAGTATAAGAATAATCATTAATTATTGAAAAAAAAAGTGCTTATTCTCGTGTGCAGATAATTTTTTTGTAATTTAAATATGTATTGTATAACCGTCAATAAAACAACTTTATAATTATAGTTTTTTTTTTTTTGATTAAAAGAAGAGAATATATCATTAATTACATATGAAAATTCAAATTACAATCAGACAAAAGAGAAGTCATAAACTCGAAAGGGGGTAGGCTAACCAATCCAAAGGAAGAGAGTTGGTTAGCTTAGAAGCTACCACTTAATGAGCAGCCTTATTACAGGCTCGTGGCTTGTGTAAAAATTAAGGTTAAGTAACCTTGTAAAAAATTTAATATCCATGGCCTAATCTTCTGTAGCGCTTAATTTAATGATAGGCAGACAATCAGCAAGAGAGCATCAGCAAGAATACAAGTTTGGCAGACAGCTTCGGCTTCAGATGACAAAGAAGATCCAGCAGAAAAAGACTTAACTACAAATATAATTGTAGTTAAATAGTAAAAAAATATGAAAGTTCAAATTATCTTTCATTTTTGTTGAATGGTAATTATATGGAGACGACGAGAACGAGAACGAGAACGAAGTTGGAACTCACAAATAATTATAGAACAGTGATCATTAAGTCAATTATTGAATCCTCGAGTTGATAACTTCGAATGTGATATATTTCCAAAGCAAAACGTAAAAACTAAAATGATTTTAAAAAAAAAAAAAAAAAACAAGTAATATATTCAGAAATGGGGATTAAAAAAAAACAAGAATAAAAATTTTATTTTTTATTTATGAAATGGAGTTAAAAACTCCTGCATCGCAAGGAATAATTTCCCTTGGGCACGCGCGGGGCATACCTGATTAAGATATTTAGGCAGTGAGAGAAGCCTCGCTGTTCGTACTTGCCACCAACCATTGGCCGGCCTAGTCACGGCCTTGTCATTAACAGATTAAACTAATTGTTAAATAATATATATATTTTTAATTTCTTGGCTAAATTTACTAAAATAGCCCTGGTATCTGTTCCATGTTTCTGGCAATAGAAGTACCGTAAAAAAAAAAAAAATACTAAATTGGATTTTTTTTTTGAAATTAGACCAAATCTCTATATCATAATTGTTTAATAAGAATCGAACAATAAAAATGTGATTCTGTCTTTTGGTGTTAATCACAAGCTTACTAATGTTATTAAAATTTATGCACGACAAAATCAAATCTTATTTTAAGATTTTTTAAACGGGTTCGCTCAACATGATCTTTTATCCAAACAATTGGAGAACTAGGCTTATGGATCAAACTCTAAAAATATATGTATTTATAAACACGTATATGATTATCTTTGTTTTTTTTTTTAAAAAAAATGAATATTTTCTTCTCCCCTTTGTGCCATTTGGCATATGAGAAAAGGTGGGAAAATGACATTTTTGTCCCATATTTTTTGTTTTTGTTTTTGTTTTTGTTTTTTTGGGTGAATTTTATAAAAAGGACTGGTTTTTACGTGAGACAAGATGGACAATAAAAAAGGACTGGGAAATATGCCAATGGGATATTCCATGGCAGAAAGTTTAGTCCACATGCAGTTAGAGCACGTGAATCCCAGTTTATAATAAAGCGAGGCGAAAAAGGTCCACGTGTCAGGTACAGGTGAGATCTATTTTGTGGTGGACAGGAAAGAATCTGATGCAAGACACTTTGTCCCCTTCGCAATTTGGCCTTATTTCAGTAGTTTCTAAAAAAAAGCGTCTTATCACCAAAAGGACCTAAAATATCTTACTTTTTCTTTTTCTTTTTTGTACAAAAAAAAAAAAAACAGAACTAAAATATCCTATGTTTCAATTTGGTGGTCCCATAGAAATTGGGAAAAATAACCCAAATAAGTAGGTTAGGTGATAATAAAAAAGACCAGTAAATTTAATCGTTTTGAATTTAAATCTTGATAATTTTTTGAAGTCAAGTCATGAGAAATTTATTTCTCATAAATACCTTAATTCCGATGTTGATAGTTTATCTTTGATAGGATCGGAGATAAGATTAATCGAGATATACGTAAACTAACTCAAACACCTGACCGTTAAATTAAAGAAAAGAAATAAATTAAAAAAAATAATGCTATTGTGATATAATTTGAGGATTTAATAGTTGTAATCATTGAATTCTAGTGGATACAATGTATTAAGTTCATATATTGTCATATTAGGCGGTTGTATTATTTATATATTAGAGGAGTAGTCGACGCAAGCCTGAATATCCAATAATAAAAAAAAAATGCAAACAACTGTACCACTAGGAAATAATAGTGTTAAATATACTTTTATTTTTGACAATTGTTTTTGTTTAAAAAAATTACTTAAAATTCCTTACCTAAACTTTGTGTTAGTTTTTTAATGCATGTTAGTGCAACCAATCAGGCCAAAGTAATACTGGTAATCTTCTATTTGAGGTCTAATGGATGGTTATTTAATGTTTTCATTACTGCTAGAGTTGATAATCATTAACCCGATGTCGACGTTATCAAGCATGAGTTTAGTCCTAATCAGATATGTTATGGCATTCTGCATCAAGCATTTGTCTTGAGGTCTTTAACTTTTGTGCTTGAGTAAGGGGAGAAAGCAATCACATGAATGCCTGTAAAGGAACATTGAGAATGCATACCAAGGTGATAATACCATGAAAAGAACTTGGCAGTAGATAGATCACTCTTTTGGGCATAACATAGACACTAGGGGTGTGCAAGCTTGCACACGACATCCGTGTGCGTAATTACATAAAAGTAATATATGGAAGAAGATAGATAGATATCATAATGTTAAAAAAACCGATATGATTGGACTACAATTGGTTAAAGAATAATATATAGAACCTTATTTACCCAAAAAAATATATACTGACCACGTACGTTGGAAAAAAAATAATCATTCACAATGGACGCGAAACTAATAAGAATGTATCTGGTAGTATACCATTTCCAATATAAGAATGTCATGAACATGCTGATACTAGATCTAGTTAGCATTCAGTACAGAATATCCGGCGATTGACATCTAAACTCTAGAGAATTGAATCAGAAAGAAGAAAAATTAAGTGTTTATGTCGAAGCAGTACATGATGTTTCCAAGTGGCCAAACGGGAC